TCTAGACACTCTATACTGTGCCATTCAAAAATCAAAAATACAGTAACAACTGTGCAATATTATTAGAATGTAAAACAGCTGTTTTCTATGTGAATATCTGTTAAACTGTAATGTATTTCTGTGAATAGCTGAATTTTCAGCATCATTACTCCAGTCTTCAGTGTCACATGATCTTCAGAAATCATTCTAATATGCTGATTTGCTGCTCAAGAAACATTTCTCGACAGTTGTGCTGCACAATATTTCTGTGGAAACTGTGATACATTTTATTTGTCATGCTTCACAGGTGAATAGAAAGTTCAAAAGAGCAGCATTTACTGTATTTGAAATCATTTGTAACATTTTGTTGACAACAGATTTATAAGTGATTGGGGGAAGATAACTGGTGCATATTGCACTTTCAAATGCACGTTAAGATGGGTTTGCAAACACCCACACACAGTCCGGTAAGGTCAGCTGTTTAGCAGGTGACCGACAGAGAATGTCAAAGACTTTCTGCTGAACTTTATCAGCCTTGGTCTGAGTAATCATGACTTTCAGTTTTCAACATCATGTAATCTCACCGTTAACTAAACACTGAAATGTATCTGATAAGTCCACTCCAGCCTTTCACAGTCACTTCTTGATTTTCCACACACTAAACTTCCCCTTTCAGCAGGACAATCAGCAGGTGATCAGAGGAGAAACACCAAAGTCATGGGTTTGCTTCCCAGGGAACTGAAATGATGTGCCAATCAGTGTAAATGTCAATAAGCCGGTCTCACTGACCAGATGGTTTACATTGAAGCACTTGGCAGAGGCTTTAATTCAAAGCGACTTGCATTGCACATTTTCCCCAGGAATCACACCCATGATTTGGGTTTTGCAACCACGATGATCTATTTTTTAATCTACAGGAACTGTAACAGTCAGCAGTTCACTGCAGCATGTGGACTTCCACAGAAATCTATATCACAAAAGACTGTTGATAAAGAGGTTTATCGGGGGTTCGAGATTGGCGCATGTTATGCAGCAAAAATAGAGGAAACTATTTCTGAACTTCTGCTACACGGCATCGCACTGGCAACACATGTGTGATGTGAATAAACAAAACCTGCTGTCATGACAACAGACGTGTGTGTGCATGTGTATCAGGAACACACTCACCTTCAGCAGTGAGATTCAGACGCGCATTGATGTCACTTCCACTCTGAAAACACACACACACACACACACACACACACACACAAACGCGCGCACACACACAATATATGATCCGGTCACATATTCAGTCATGTTTGAGTTTGTTCTGTGAGCTGATATACTAAATCCAATGTTTGAAAGCAGGTAGATGTAACCCATTCCAACTACTATTAATAATAAGACAATAATTAATATGAATAACAGCAATAATAAAACTAATACTAATACAAATGATAACAGTAATACTAATAATACTATTAATAACACCATTGCAAATAATAGTACTAAAAATAAAGTGCAATACTAATATGAATACTAATAATGAAACCAATACCAATATTAAAATTAAAACTATGCTATGAATAATACTAGTAATAATACTAATACAAACAATAATAATAAAACTAAGATTAATACTATTAATACTAATACAAATAATACTAGTAATATTAATATAAATAATAATACTAAAAGTAAAATTGATATTACTTTTATTGTGATACTACTACTAATATTAACAATAAAATTAGTACTACTAGTAATAATACTAATACTATAATTGATACTATTACCCCTAATAATACTATTAAAATAATAAGATTAATAATAAGATTAATAAAAAAAAAATACTTTTAATAATATGAATAATACTAACAATACTAATACTACTAATAAAAATAAAACACTAGTTATACTACTACTATTAATAATAGTAATCAATTTAATTTCTATAGCACTTTTCCAGAGTTTAAAGCCGTAAACAAACACATCAACTACATTAAACACAACCACACAATTTCTACATGAATCTGACTCAAGCAAAAGCAGAGGACACCCAAAGTCAGTGTGTGGTCAGAGATTTATAAACAGTGATCAAACTAAAACAGACACCGTCTGATACTATCTCCACTATCCAGCGAATGCAGGTTATTTACTTGAGATGAAAAGCAGTGCGTTAAAGAGCTGCGGTCGTGACGATACTCTCCACCTGATCACTGAACTCTGTTTACACTATCAGGAATGAATCTGATGCACCACACACTCCATAACACCATGTGATGTGTGTGTGAGCTAAACTGACCCATCTATCTATCTCTAACTCCCGTTTATGGCCACATCAGATTCCAGCCAGAAGAACGTTCCGGCCTTCAGCCCCTGATACATGGCTGTGTTCCAGATCTGAGGTCAGAGGTCAAAGGTCAGCACAGGACATCAGGGTCTCAGATGCGTGTGTGTGTGTGTGTGTGTGTGTGTTTACCGGTTGTCCCTGTACTCCGCTACATTTACTTGACTTTACGAGTAGATTTAAATGTGGCTACTTTTACTTTAACTCGAGTACATTGCTAACAGAAAACTGTACTTTTACTTCGTTCCTCTCGTTACTTAATTTTAATGCAATACAGTTTATTCCAAGCGTGCTGTCTCTTTTGTGTGTGGCATGAGTGATGCTCAATTCACAAATGAATCGATTCTGTTCCAAGGCCTTAATCAAACAAGCTGGCAAAATGGTCTGAATTGGTTTGCGGATCAGTTTGAATGATTTGTTCAGTTTCCTGCACGCACTGAACCGTCTGGAGTTGTTTTTCATTCATAACAGAAAACTGAAGAACACAGTGAACATAAAGAGCGTTATGAAGTGAACCTACAGTCAACTGAAACCAAATCTGAAGATCCGTTGTAACTAGTAACATTGAGGATATTTGTACTCTTACTGAAGTAACTATTAAGATTACCACTTTTACTTGAGTAACTACTTGCACTTTTTTATTAAAGACAGTTTTTGAAAACTCTACCCTCCTCTGTTAAAGGTGTAGTGATTCACTCGTGATTGATTCAGTGGTGTAGTGATTCATTTGTAATTCACATGCTGAAGTCATGTTGTATATTCCAGTCTTTGCTCAGTAAATGAAGCGTGTGAACTGATATACTGTAACATCTTCTCACGTCATCTTTTTCTCATCTACTTAATTTCTCTCTGATTTGATGAGTTTTAATAGGCTTTTATTCATCAGTAACTGAATTCAAAGATGAATGATTGTGATGGGATTCAGTGCAGGTTTTGTTCACTCCACTTTGATTTGAGTTCATTCAACAGAACTCTTCAGTTTCACTGGATTGATTTTTTTTTTACAGCATATGATCATAAATGTGACCCTGGAGCACAAAAGCAGTCATAAGCAGCAGAGGTATATTTTTAGCAATAGCCAAAAATACATTGTATGGGTCAAAATTATCCATTTTTCTTTTATGCCAAAAATCATGAGGATATTAAGCAAAGATCATGTTCCATGAAGATATTTTGTACATTTCTTACTGTAAATATATCAAAACTTAATTATTGATTAGTAATATGCATTGCTAAGAACTTCATTTAAAGATGATTTTCTCAATATTTAGATTTTTTTGCACCCTCAGATTCCAGATTTTCAAATAGTTGTATCTCAACAAACATACATCAATGGAAAACTTATTATAAAAAATTTACCCTTGTGACTGATTTTGTGCTCCAGGGTCAGAAATGTGTGTGTGTTACCTGGCAGGACATTTGGCAGTGCTCATGTCGACACACTCACACTCACACTCACACACACACGTATGTGAACAGCAACGTGACACAAACCATGTTTTATTGACAGTTCAGGAATTTATTGATGGAACGAAATCATTAACGACACTCACTAGTAAGACAGAGCATCACTCGCTCAGATCATGAGTCACATGACCGTCTGCCGCCAACAGGAAGCAGATTCAGTATCACTGAACACGCACAAATTCACCTTTCACACGTGTTTTCTCACACTTTTCACACGCTAAAATTTGCGTTTTTTAATATTTGTCACATGACAAATCCAGAGTGAACCACACACACACACACACACACACACACACACACACACACACACACACACACACACTTAGTGTTTAGTCTACGCTGCGTTCACCCACGTCATAATTATCGCAACTACTAAACAACAAGCTGGAGCGATCACATCCTCGCAATTATGGCTTTCTGTGGAAAGACTATCTGCGTAATCAATAGATAAAACCAGAACACAACAAATAAAACACTGGCACTGAAAGACACTGGTAACGTTTCACAATAAACTCCTATAAGTTGATGACTGTTTATGCATTAACAAATATTAACTAACAATGAGCAATATTTTTCTTACAGTATTTCTTAATCTTTATGTTAGTTAATAAAAATACAACTGTTCATTTTTAGTTCATGTTAGCTCAGCTCCATTAAATAATATTAACAGATAAAACTTATGATTTTTATAATGCATTCGGAAATGTCAAAGTTAATAATAACTACACTGCAAAAAAGACGTTCTTCCTCGGTGTTTCTGTCTTGTTTTCCAGGTCAAATATCTAAACATCCTTAAATCAAGATACATTTACTGGAGACTTAATATATTAAGTCCTGCATTTTTTTTTTAAAGAAATCACAATTTAAATGATCACAATTTTTAATCTTAAAACTAAAAATTTTGAGTTTATTTATTATGAATTTGAGTTTAAGACTTGCATCTTATGCATTGAAAATGCATCTTATTTTATAAATGTTTAGATATTTTTATTGGAAAACAAAAAAAATATGCAGGAAGAAAATCATATTTTGCAGTATGAGATTAATAGATGCTTTAGAAGTATTTTTCAGTGCTAGTTCATATTTGGCTCTGTACTATAGCGACTAATATTAAACTATTGTATGTTCTTCGGTTTAGTTTTTAGATTAATCTTGCATTATGACATTAACAATAGACAATTATAGGAATCATTATACAAAAAACAAACAAACTACATTCTACTGCTCATGTAGAATGTTGCACAAGTGTAAACAAATAAAACAGTTTACGAGTTTTTCAAGGATGCGAGTGCATTTCTCTGTGGAAGTCTGGTAATTGCGGTAATTGTCTCATGGTGTGAACATGTTTACAGACGTGAAGCTGGAAGCTGAAGTGGACTGCAGTTGTGTGTTGTGAGCTGTGAGATGGTTTCATTATTAGCTTGAAGGTGAATAATAAATATGACACAGTGTATAAAACTATACAGTGGAAGCGTCGGGTGCGGTGAGTGTTACACGTCATCCTCAAAGGTGCGCATGCGTGTTTTGAGCGCCAGCACACGCGTGTACGGCAGCGCGGTGGAGCGGTAGAAGTCCAGCCCCGTGAGCAGCTCCACGTCTCGCACTCGAGCCGTGTGTAACTTCAGCAGATCCTCCACCCAGCGAGACTCGTCCTCCCAACTCTGCAGAAAAACACAGGGTTATTATTATTTCACTTGACCTCGTTTCATTTAAAATGCCACAAAACGGTTTGAGAAGCGGCTTTCCTGCCCGTGTTCATGTATTTCCTCTTGAAATATTAGAAATTAAACAAAAAAAGCAATAGATCTTTTGATTAAAGAAAATAAAATGGTCTCAGATTTTCCCCCTAAAATTCAAATATAAAATATTTTTTTATTAAAATACAAATATTTAAATTTATAAAGTTAAATTATCTAATTCAAATACCGAAAATATTCAAATTTAAACAGTCAAACGATCAAATTAAAATACTGAAAATCAAATGATCAAATTCAAATATTTAAATAAAATACTGAAAATCAAATATTCAAATTCAAATATTCTCATTTTTCTACTTTCAATATTAAATCAAAAAACAAATGATCGAATGATACACGGATTTAAATAAAATACTGAAAATCAAATATTCAAATTCAAATATTGAAATAAAATACTGAAAATCCAACACTTAAATTCAAATATTTAAATTCCAATGATCAAGGCACATATTCAAATGAAAATCCTATAAATCAGAATTCACATACTTAAAATCAAATTAAATTCAAATAGGCCTACTGAAAATCAAATAGTCAAATATTCAAAGTCAAACAAGTATGAGTATTTTAAAACCAAATTCATATTACAACCCCAATTCCAGAGAAGTTGGGATGTTTTGTAAAATGAAATAAAATCAAGAATCTGTGATTTGTTAATTCTCTTTAACTTTTTTTTGAAAATATAAACACATTTTCATTTTGATGGCAGCAACACTTCAAAAAAGTTGGGACAGAGGCAAAATAAAAGTGAAAAGGTTATAGAATATCCACTTTAAACTGTTTTGAAACAGTTCAGAGTAACCAGGTGAATTGGTAACAGGTCAAGGTATCACGTTTGGGTATAACAGGAGCATCTCAGTCTTTGCCAGCAAAGCTGGATCATGGATAACCATCACTTTGTGCCAAATTTCACGAAAGTGTCAAACAAATCAAAAATCACATTTCGCAATGCAAAATCGCAAAGAATTTAGGTCTTTCACCAAGTACCATACATAATATTGTGAAAAGATTCAGGGAATCCAGAGAAATCACATTACATGTAGGGCAAGGCAGGAAACCTCAGGTGAATGTGCTTGACCTTTGACCCCTCAGATGGCATTGCATTAGAAACCGTCATGCTGCGGTGTTAAATATAGCCACATGGGCTCAGGAGTACTTCAGAAAACCACAGTCTGATGCTGCATCAATAAATGCAACTTGAATCTCTGTTACTCTAGGAGAAAGCTATACATCAGTTCTATGCAGTGATGCCGCCGGGTTCTCCAGGCCAGAGCTCATCTCAGATAGTCAAAACGACAGTGGAAAAAGTGTGCTGTACTCAGATGAGTCCACATTTCCACTTGTTTCTGCGAAAAATGGATTACGAGTTCTCAGTCCCAAAGACCAAAGGGAGCATCCAGACTTTCATCAGCGACAGAAGCAACAGCAAACGTCTGTCATGGTATGTGAGTGCAGCAGAGCAAAGAGCATGGGTGACTGGCATATGTGTGAAGGTACTATCAGTAAGGCTGCTCCCTATACGCAGAGTACGCAGTTTGTGTAAGGCACCAACTCCCGGGGGGGCACCATCCCAGTTGCTCAAAAAAAAAAAAAAAACCCGTGTATGTTTTTTTGTAAAGATTATAAAAAGTTTTGATTGTAAAAGGCCGTAATGCATTTTGTAATATGACACTTAACACCGCCCACTAAGGGGGAGAATGCCAAAACATTTTAAAGTACCATTTCCATGGTAACTCAATGTTCGATTTCAAAATGGTTTTCACAGGATGAATCTTGGGCTTCTTAGCTTTCAAACGATATATAATTTATGAGTATTACTAAAACATTTGATAGAGAAAAAGGACAACAACAAAAAAGAGCGCCAAGCGTCCCACAGGTGGGACGTGACAGTTAAGGGGTTTTTAAACTCTTCTGACTCTCATTGGTTTTCTTTTGAAATGCTGAAATTTACAACTGCCCAGTAGCATGTCTGTCCAACCAACAGAGTTTCCCACCATTCCCTCAAAACAAACAAGCACACATACACATTTCACTCTGACATCTTTCATGCTGGGTTTTTACACAAAACGCCTGGAAATCCCACACAATGTGAAAGAGGTAAAATCAAAGTAAAACAGAGGTGAATAAGCAGGTGTCCACCAAAGCATTTTTCCCAAGGCTGGAGTATTTTTCAATTGTTTTCAAAGGGAGCGCTGCTTTGTCTTTTTCACACTGAGCGTTGAGCGTTCGGGCGTTTTTTCTCGGCACTGAGAGTTGAAGAATGTTCAGCTTTGGGTAAAACCAAAGACTATTGCTGCGTCCGAAGCTCTAAAATGCTGCCTTCGGAGGACGCATTCCAAGGTAGGGAGGCATCAAGGCACGTCTGAATTCAAAGTTAGGTTCACTTCCTGTATCATGAGCAGTACCGCCGCCCCCTATACACAGAGTACGCAGTTTGCGTAGGGCACCAACTCCCGGGGGGGCACCATCCCAGTTGCTCAAAAAAAAAAAAAAAACCCGTGACGTGCCATTCCCGCATAAGCTCGCACCTTATGTTTGCGGCTGAATGCAAATGACCATAATTGATGGACAACTATACCCGTTAAAAGACATCAGCAATCCGGCCGAGAAAAGAAAAAATAAAATAAAAAGATGAAAGCGAAGCCGTGCATCAATTTCAGGTACATTCATAATCCTGTGAAACCTTTTTGGCTGTTGACGTTAATAATGTCACAATAATTTCACCACCACCAACGCATCTAATATTCTCTCTGAGTTTCCATGTTCCCTTCCGAAAATTAGCCATGGTTTTAACATGAATAAAACCAAAAAATCATGGTTCTTGTAGCCATGGTAACCACAAATTAACCATGGTTTTGTTACTCCAAATAATAATTTACAAAGAAGTATTAAGATAATATTTTTTGTGGTTATAAAAACAAACCTAAGCCAACAACAGCCTTTAAAATGACTTGTATAAAACCAATGAGGCAATAATGATAGGCTAATTAATAATTATATGGTTTCATAGAATAACACCATTAAAAATACATAATGCAAAAGCCAACAAAATAAACAATTTATGTACATTACATGTAATTACAAATGCCTGTAAAGGGCACCAAAGGCCTGGTAATTGCTGCTGTTATACTTGCAGGATGATCAAATCCTTGTTTAATAGGCTGTTGACCAAACATTTAATTCAAATATCCACTTAATCTAATTTTTGGCCACTTTTTTGCTATAGATGACACAGCCTCTATAACTTCTTCAACAAAAAAAAAACATGTGGACATCACAACCCTTACAAAAATGAACCATGGTTTTATCGAAAAACTGCTTAATTTTCTTTTGCTTGATTTCTGAATGCTTGAGACTATAAAATCAATCAGACATCTGTATTAATAAAATCATAGCCATAGGTAACTGTTTAGAGGTACAATTGTAATTGGTAAATAATACAATTTAATTACTATTTATTTATTTACATTTAAATAAAGACTGCTGAGCTTCTGAAGTCTAACTCCATCCGCCCCTCAGCACTGATTCACTGTCTGAACCACAGACTTTAACAAACACTGCTCTTTCCAAACTGTACTTTTTCCCCATTGCGTTAAGAATATAATTACACATTTACTATCATTTACTCTGGTGAATCATAAAGCAGTGTCATTGTGGCTTAATTAACAGCTCACTCTGTGTGTTCTTGCTTCTTGCGTCAGACCAAGGCTGTATCTCATTGCTAGTTTTACTTGATCTTAGTGCTGCGTTTGATACTATAGATCATGACATGCTCATAGATCGATTACAAAACTATACAGGTATTCAAGGGCAGGCTTTAAGATGGTTTAGATCCTACCTGTCCGATCGCTACCACTTTGTCTATTCAAACGGGGAATCATCTCAATTAAATCCAACCAGAATATAGGGTTCAGACACACTCTCTCTGTTTAAATCTAGATTAAAGACACATCTCTTTGGCCAAGCATTCAAATAATTTATCACATAGAGATGATGCAAACCCCTCAGACAACATACAAAATTACCAAATTTTGCTATAATGGACATCAACTTGAGATAGTCACCACTGATAAGCTATTACTAAATATAATGTAGAATCTTTAATTTTCTGTAAAGCTGCTTTGCAACGACTTGCTTCTTGAAAAGCGCTGTGTGTGAAAAGTGTGTGTGTGTGTTGTGGTCTGCTTTTATTTAGATTCTAAATGTCTCCATCTGCTGGTCAAACCTCAGACCTACATGATATAAATAAACTACACACATATTATTCACTAATAATAATTATGCACATTATTCATATGTATATGCACAGGAGTACATCTTACAAACACTTCACACATGTGTGTGTGCGTGAGTGTGTGTGTCTGTGTGTGAGTGAGTGTTTGCTTATGTGAGTGTGTGTGTGTGTGTATATATGTGAGTGTGTGTGTATGTGAGTGTGTTTGTGTGTGTGTGAGTGTGTATGTGTTACTGACGTTGCAGCTCTCGCTGTGTGTGTCTGAGTGTGCGTGTGTGAGTGAGTGTGAATGTGTATATGTGAGTGTGTGTGTATGTGAGTGTGTTTGTGTGTGTGTGAGTGTGTATGTGTTACTGACGTTGCAGCTCTCGCTGTGTGTGTCTGAGTGTGCGTGTGTGAGTGAGTGTGAATGTGTATATGTGAGTGTGTGTGTATGTGAGTGTGTTTGTGTGTGTGTGAGTGTGTATGTGTTACTGACGTTGCAGCTCTCGCTGTGTGTGTCTGAGTGTGCGTGTGTGAGTGAGTGTGAATGTGTATATGTGAGTGTGTGTGTCTGTGTGTGAGTGAGTGAGCGTTTGTATATGTAAGTGTGTGTGAGTGTATGTGTTACTGATGTTGCAGCTCTCGCTGTGTGCGTGTGTGTGTGTGTGTGCAAGTGAGTGTGTGTGTATATGTGAGTGTGTGTGTCTGTGTGTGAGTGAGTGAGTGTTTGTATATGTGTGTGTGTGTGTGTGTGTGAGTGTGTGTGTGTGTATATGTGTGAGTGTGTGTGTGTGTTACTGACATTGCAGCTCTCGCTGTTGTGTGTGTCTGTGTATGTGTGTGTGTGTGTATATGTGTGAGTGTGTGTTACTGACATTGCAGCTCTCGCTGTTGTGTGTGTCTGTGTATGTGTGTGTGTGTGTATATGTGTGAGTGTGTGTTACTGACATTGCAGCTCTCGCTGTTGTGTGTGTCTGTGTGTGTGTGTTTGTGTGTGTATGTGTGTATATGTGTGAGTGTGTGTGTGTGTGTTACTGACGTTGCAGATCTCGCTGTTGTGTGTGTCTGTGTATATGTGTGTGTCTGAGAGAGAGAGGGTGTGTGTGTGTGAGTATGTGTGTGTGAGTGTGTATATGTGTGTGTCTGAGAGAGAGCGTGTGTGTGTGTGTGAGTATGTGAGTGTGTATATGTGTGTGTCTGAGAGAGAGAGGGTGTGTGTGTGTGAGTATGTGAGTGTGTATATGTGTGTGTCTGAGAGAGAGAGGGTGTGTGTGTGTGAGTATGTGAGTGTGTATATGTGTGTGTCTGAGAGAGAGAGGGTGTGTGTGTGTGAGTATGTGAGTGTGTATATGTGTGTGTCTGAGAGAGAGCGTGTGTGTGTGTGAGTATGTGAGTGTGTATATGTGTGTGTCTGAGAGAGAGGGTGTGTGTGTGTGTGTGAATATGTGTGTGTCTGAGAGAGGGAGTGTGTGTGTGAGTATGTGAGTGTGTATATGTGTGTGTCTGAGAGAGAGCGTGTGTGTGTGTGAGTATGTGAGTGTGTATATGTGTGTGTCTGAGAGAGAGGGTGTGTGTGTGTGTGTGTGTGTGTGTGTGTGTGTGTGTGTGTGTGTGTGTGAGAGAGGGGGTG